CTGGTGGTTCTGCAATTTTCAGATGGCTCCTGCGGGTTCAGGCCGGGGTGGCAGGAGAGACCTGGACTCCTCTTCTGTGTTGCAACCTGCTGATTTGGCTACGTGGGCGCGTTGTGCAAACATATTTTTATTTATGTCACCACCAGGGTGTCCTGTGGGACTTTCCTCTCCAAGGCTGCTTACTAGGTGTGACTTGAGCAGCGGGTGGCCATGCTTTGAGGGAGGAACCTTAAGACTTGGAGTGGTTGCCAAGCTCTTTGCTGGGTGCCCCATGTGACTTGTGGGGCTCTTGAGAGCTCAGATATGAAGGAGAGGGAGCTTTTCCCTGGAGGTTTAGAAGTGGGTCGGGCGATGAGCACAACCCACTGGAGAGGCTCTCCCGGCGTGGCCTTTGGGATGGGGCCCTTGCGCTGTAATCCGTAATGGCCACCCTTCCTCCCTTGGCAGAAAAGCGGCTGCACTCGTCCCCGGGGAGCCGGCCACCTGGGCCTGAGACCGCGGTGCTTTTGTGCCTTTTCTCTTGTGGCGCGAGGTGGGGCGACGGCCGGGGAGCTCCGGGGAAGGCCCCGGGAGTCCCGCCAGGACGCCTTAGTTGGGGAGAAGTGGAATCTCTCTTATCCCCCCCCCCCTTGCAAGCCTCGCCCGCCTCGTAATTCTTTTTATTTTTACTTTCGAGCCATGTAAGGTATGCGGATGGGGTAGCGGCGTTCCGGAGACACGTAGCCAGCGGCGCAGCGCCCGCCCGCCCGCGTGGCTGAGCCCGGGGGAGAGCCAGGCCGTGCGCCTCCGGCCGCACCAGCCACGCCGCCCGCGGCCGGGGCTGCCCCGGGTCGTGGAACCCCGAGCCGGTCGCCCGCGCTCCGCGGGGCCGCGGGAGACGACTCAGTGGCGGCCCAGCCCAGCCTGGTTCCCGGCGGCGACCTGGGGGCGTCCGGGCGAGGGCCCGATCGCGGGGCGCGGGCAGGGCTGGCACCCCGCGCGCCCCAAACCGCCCGCGGCCCGGCCCACGTTTTCCCTCTCTCCCGCTCCCTCCGCCCCCTGCGCTCCGGCCCTCCCCTTCGCTCCCCCCCCTCCTCCCTCCCCGCGCTCCCCCTCCTCCTGCCTGGTCATGTGTCGCCTTTTTTTGTTTGCAGTGGAAACAATTTCTCGCCGCTCGCTCGCTCGCTCGACGCGCCCCGGCCCGACGCGCCGCGGCGGAGGCGAGCGGGAGGCGGGACGGGGCGGGGAGAGCGGCGGCCGGCGGCGGGAGGAGGAGGAGCAGGAGGAGGAGGAGGAGGAGGAGGACGCGCCGCGCGCCGGCTGGCCGCCCAGGTCCCATGCCGCGCCGCGACCCCCGCGCCCCCGCCGCCCGCGCCCACCCGCGGCCGCCCCCCGCCGCCCGCCGCCCCGGGCTCGCCGCGCCGCGCCCGCGCGCCCTTAGCCGGGCCCCCGAGCGATGCCCGCCGGGCGCCCGCCAAAGTTTGTGGGCTCCTCCCGCTGAAGGGCAGCGGCGCCCCCGCGCCCCCGCGCCCCGCTCCGGCCAGGTGAGTGGGCTCCGCGCTCCGGGGGCGGCACTGGGTGGCCCGGGGCGGAGGCGCTTGTTCGCGGCGGTCCCGGAGGCGCCCGGCCGGCGGGGGACTCCCGAGTGCGGCTCCTGGGGGAGAGCGCGGGGCGGGCGGGGAGACCGGAGCCCCCCGAGCCGGGAAGTTGCTGGGTCCGAAGAGTTTCCTGCCCCGACGTGTGGGCTCTTCCCCGCTGCCAAGAAAGACGCCCCCAAAAAGATCGGAGTTGTTATTGTCCGCGGAGGACAGGCAGGATCCCCGCCGTTCCGGGCGGCGGAGGCGGGGAGAGGGTACCGATCCAGACAACAGACACCCCAAGATGAGGAACAGGCTGCTAACAAAGATACCCTCCCCCACAAACTGTGCAGGCTTGGCACTGGCGGGGAGCGTCCCCCGAGACTCCCAGAGGCCCGACCCCTCCCCACCCCGGCCCTCTTTGGAAGCCTCCTCCTCGGGTCCTGGAGAAGTTGGGGGGACGGCGGGCTTTTATTGATGTGTTTTGTAAGGTTCGCAGCGGTGCAGCCAATCAAAGGTTTATGACATCTGACCAGCAGTGAAGGTATGCGAGCTCCCAATTGCCGTGTCTGCGGGGAGAAGAGCAGTTTCCCCCGTTGCCTGGCAACGGCCTCTGATGGACGCGGGCCGCAGCCAATCGCCGCGCCCGCAGGTCCCCTTGAAATGTTTTTGACAAGTACAGTAGACGGAGCGGAGCGCGTGCGTGTGCGCGAGTGCGCGCGGAGGGAGGAGGGAGGGTTTGGGTGTCGCTCCCCCCCTCTCATCCCCCCCCCCCCCCACTCGCGACTGCTGGATTAGGCTCGGGGAGGATTTCTCAACTTTTTTTTTTTAAAGTTCACTTCGAACATCTGTGCAGAGCTGGGCCAGTAATGGCTTTGTCAGTTATTTGGAGACATTCTGAGAGCGGGCAAAGAAACTACTTTCCTGCTGCATTTTTGTCCATTGAAAAGCAAAAAAAAGATAACGAGACACAAGTCATAAAACAAACTAACAAAAACTGAGAAGGTGTGTGTGTGTGTGTGTGTGTGTGTGTGTGTGTGTTGGGGGAATGCAACCAATAGCAAACCGAGACGTTGTAAGGAGGTCACTAGTGAGTATATGATGGAGCAACCTTTTTGGCAGCAGATTCAAGATGTTTGTCTCACTGCAGATTCACATGATCCTGGATTTCCCTCAACCCTCCTCCCTCCCCACCCTCCTAAAATTGGGTGGAAAAGATTTGGCGAATTATGTAGTTTGAGTATAATAATGGAAAACTCAGCTGTGGTTTCTGGGAACTTTTTAAAAATGGAACTGGAGTGATCAGCAGCTCTGGCTGCTGTTGCTTTAGAACATGGGCTTGTAGGGATGCCTTCACAGTTGGAGGGCACGGGCAGGGGACAGACAAAAACGGGCAAATGAATCAAGGGAACTGGACTCTGACCCTGCTTTCTTAACCGTTTTCCTAAGAAAACCATATTGCCGTCAGTGTTTGTTTAAAACAAAAGGAAACATGGAGAATAGCATGTTAGTTCCTTTGGGAAGCTACTGACAAACTAAAAAGAAAGAGAGCAGCATGTTGTCATAGCAACAATGCAATTAAATTACTGTCAGCCATGATATAATTTTCCTGTTTGGAAGCTCGGGAGACAAAAAACTTTCATCTAGAGCTAAAGTTGACTTCAGTGGCTGGGTAGTAGTTCTCTTTTGTACTCCACTATGTGGATATTCCTAGTTATCCAAAAATTCGTGTTTTTTTTTAATTTTTTTATTGGGATCTGAGGAAACTTTGAGAGAGACAAACCCAGTTTTGATTGTTTCATAAAGAAGGCAAAAGCATTATCAGCCTGGTCTCTGTAAACCCCCACGCCTCAAGATACGAGCTTATTCTTTAAAATGTGTCATATGCTATTCAGGTTAGTACATGACAGAAAGAAATACTAACTTGGATGAACCTGAGGTATGCAAACTGCCCTGTCCCATGGGACTTCGATGCCCATGGAAGTTTCTTTGGAATTGGTCATCTCATAGCAGTTCCAGAGAGTTCCCCCCAGGCCTTCAGTCAGCAGGTTCTGTTTGTCCGCTTTTTGGCAGAGGGAGGGTTGGTTCTGGGACTCCTGGGGTTGGCTGTGCAGTGCTCCCACACTGGGCTTTCTAGAATCCCATTCTAGAGCATCCCCAGCTGAAGGGCAGTGTCAGTGGGCATTTCCAGGTGTAATCATATTCTTTGCTTTTGATGTATTTTTTTTTTCTCCCATGGATGGATTGCTTGATCTTCTCCCTCGTGGGGGGGGAAAACATAAAACAGACACGTGTCTTACACCATGCACATTGTATGAGCGCGGCAGACGGAGAGTGGGAGACCTCGCTTCATTATCTCCACTGTCCTTTATGTCTTACACGGAGTGCCAGGGGGTCGGGCAGCTTTGGATCTGGCCGGGCCATTCTATTTGTGGACTCGCCACCTCCTCAGTGTCTTCTCTCATCAGATATTTTACTCCCTGTTCTAGGTCATTGACAAAAGTGGGGGCGGCAGCAGAAGAGAATCCTGGAGCCACTTTTGTTGAATTTGCCTTCCTGCCTCGACGCTTGCCCTTTTGCTCTCCTGACTTTTTCCCACCAATCTTCATCTCAGCGCCTGGCTTTGTTTGCTTGGTGTCTGCCCTCCTCACTTTTTTGTTCAGAGTGTAGTGTCCCTATAAAATTAAATGCATTTATTGCTCCGGTTCAAACCCACAGAATTCAATGTAATTAAAGATAAATATAATTAAGTGTTTGATCATGACTTGTGGATCGGAAGGGAGAGAATCAAATAAAACATATCAAATTGTTGCTTGTGGCCACAGTTTTAATTCGGGGGTCATTGTGATGGATGGTCTTTGTATGGAAACTCTGAAAACACTGGCCTTAAACTTTTTTTTTTTTTTTTTTTTTTTTTTTTTTTTTTTTTTGAGAATGACCCAAAGGGACAGAGTGCGGTTGTGCATTGAGCTTATTAGGTAGAGTGTAATCACGAGGCTTGAAATATTTTTACTTGTGCATGTATGTTCCTGTGTAATAGAGGAACGGAGGCAGCAAGAAATAACTGATTGTCCCAGGGCCCCAGGGAGAGTGTTCGTAGATCCAGGGAGAAGGCACGTGGACTATCCCGTCCTTTTTCTGGTGCCTTTGCACATTCAAGGTGCTGCAGACATTTCCGGTATTGATGGGTTGAGGGGGTGACAGTCTCTGGGCTGTATGCACGATAGACCGATTTTACTTCCTGTGCCTCTCTGTGGGGCAGAATTGTGGGTTCGCATCCCTTGGGGTAGGAGCCGGGAGGCGTGTTCCTGTGTGAGAGGGGGTCCACCAAGGAGGCGGTGGCGGCGGCGGGGGGTGGGGACCAGAGGACTCGGCTGCCTTTCCGGTTTGCGTGTCACTGACTCTTCTCTGTGGACTGTGTTCATACCAGGAGCCTTCACGTAAATGGGTCCAGTCATGCCTCCCAGCAAGAAGCCGGAAAGCTCAGGAATTAGCGTCTCCCGTGGGCTGAGCCAGTGTTACCGGGGCAGCGGCTTCTCCAAGGCCCTCCAGGAAGACGATGACCTCGACTTCTCCCTGCCCGACATCCGCCTAGAAGAGGGGGCCATGGAAGATGAGGAGCTGACCAACCTGAACTGGCTGCACGAGAGCAAGAACCTGCTGAAGAGCTTCGGGGAGTCGGTGCTCCGGAGCGTCAGCCCCGTCCAAGACCCGGACGACGACACGCCCCCGTCCCCCGCCCACTCCGACCTGCCCTACGATGCCAGGCAGAACCCCAACTGCAAGCCCCCCTACTCCTTCAGCTGCCTCATATTTATGGCCATCGAGGACTCCCCGACCAAGCGCCTGCCGGTGAAGGATATCTACAACTGGATCTTGGAACATTTCCCGTATTTTGCAAACGCACCGACTGGGTGGAAAAACTCAGTGAGACACAATTTGTCGTTGAATAAGTGTTTTAAGAAGGTGGACAAAGAGAGGAGTCAGGTAAGTCTCCGCGTCTGGAACTCGGAGCGTTTCTCTTTCTCTTCCTAAAACTTTTCAGTTTCTCTCCATTCACCAATGGTTAAGGATTGGCAAGGCCCCGCACGGAAGGGGCGTTTCGTTCATTTAGTTGTAAACTTCCCCTTCCTTACGCATGTTAATTAAATACCGTTTCTCCGTGTGTGTGCCGGCGTGAGGTTTTCCCACCCTGGCATCTGAACATAATCACAAAGCAGTGGTGTGCACGCTGCCTGCTCTTCCCTTAGTGCAGACGGGTCAGCTTGGGTTTACGGTACAAAGGGGCAGCCATTAGCCAGGAGGTGTATGAATGTATTTTTTGAGGAAAATTGTCAGGAAGAACGAGAGAAAAATGGCATCAGTGTTCTTCCTGAACTTGAACTTGGGGAAGGGCGGTCTCTCTGGGACCCTGGGACACATGGACAGTAATGGACATTGGGAGGTGTCACACTTGAGCATCACATGACACACCAAAGACAGACGTGAATTGCCCAGGTGACCTTTTGTTTTATTTAGTTGATTCTCACCAGAGGATATTTTTAGAGTAGAAGGGAGGAGGAGAGACAGAGAGAAACATCTATGTGTCTCTCACACCGATTGGCTGCCTCCCGCACATGGGGCCAGGGATTGGCTGCCTCCAGCACATGGGCTCAGTGCCCCTGCGATCCAGGTGTGCCCTTGACCCGAATTGAACCCCGAGACCCTTCCGTCCAAGGCCTGATGCTCTATCCACTGAGCCAGATCAGCTAGGGCCCAGGCTGACTTTTGAAATATGGTGTTTACTTAAGAGTTGTTTGGCAGCTTTGGAAAAACTAGCACAGGGTAAAGTTCCCACTGGAGACTGACTTAAAAAACAAAAAAGGTTGAAGTTTGATTTTTAAAGCTTTTGAGCTTCGTGGCCCAGGAGAAGGAAACAGCTTTCATGGTCTGCTTTGCCTTTCTCATAACGCAATAGCAGGTCCGAGAGAAAGCAGGCCAGCGGTTCTGAAAGGTAACGCTGCCACAATCAAAACGAGCGGCCAGACAGCACACTCTCCACCGTTTCCCAGCTTTGTTTTTCGTTAACGGTGCCGACGGTCTGCATTCCTCTTTTTGAAGTTCAGGTTCAGACACAGGACCGCTGTGGTGTGGGGTCAGCGCTGTGGTGTGGGGTCAGTGCTGCTGTACAGGGCTGGGACCTTCACTTTCTTTCTCTCCAGAATCATGTTGCTGTTTCCATTAGAATCTCGAGCCTGAGAAAATTCTACTTATCATGGCATGGCGATTATGGATAAGGTGGTGTTCCATTTTTCTCCTCGTTCAGGGTGGGCGTGGGCAGCGTGCAGGGTGTGAGGAGGGTGGTGCCTGGGAGGGGCACAGGTGGACACGGGGGCTTTGCCTTTGGTCCCAGTGCAGGTGAGGCCTCAGTGCCGTGTTCTTGTGTGAGCATTCCTGTGTTCGGAGCCCGTCCTTCGCCAGGGCCTTATTTGTACACACCTGTCAACTACCTGTAAAGTTGTCGGCTGCTGGCATCGTCCCCAGGTGTCCATGGCGTCCACTTCTCTTCCTCCTCCCTCCCCCATCTCCGGGCGGGCGTTTGAAGACCAACCTCTACACTTGGCTCTGTTGAGTGTTTTTTGTTTTTTTTTATTAATTTTAGAGAGGAAGGGAGAGGGAGAGAGAGAGAAACATTAGTGATTGAGAGAGAATCATTGATTGGCTTGACTGCCTCTGGACTCCCCCTGCTGGGGATTGAGCCTTCAACTTGGGCACCTGCCCTTGACCGGAATCCAACCTGGGACCCTTCAGTCTGCAGGCCAACACTCTATCCACTGAGCCAGACCGGCTAGGGCACTCTGTTGAGGGTTTTAAGACCATTCTTTGAACTTTGAGGAAATCTGCTGCTTTCCTATAAGGAGCCAAGTCTGGTATTAAAAGCTCCCGCAGAGGTGGGTCCTAGGGAGGAGAAAGGGAAAGTCCTAGAAAGCAATTTCAGGGTAGAATGTGGAGGAGAAAGTGGCGTTCAGTCCCCCACAGCCCCATGTCACCGTTTAGGTTGGGAACGGGGCTTTTAGTTTGGTGAGAAACGATTGTGCAAGTTGCCACACGCCCGGGTCTCGCTGTTTGCAGTCCTGCTGGCAGCTCCGCAAACACACCTATAAGTTCACCGAGCAGCTCCGGAGCTGGCGGGGCCTGGTGGCTGCTTCTCCGGCCGTGGGGGTGGCAGGCGGGTGAAGGGTGGTCTGTCCAGAGAACCCTCTCCCCGATGCTCCCTCCAGGGCTGAAGGTCATGCTTCTCAATAAATGCAGCTGTCGCCTGTTGAACGGGATGGGCTCGAAGAACCAAAGATTGTGAATCTCAGGAAATGTTGAGTTCTGGCTTCCCAGCCACACCGCTGACCTGCACGGACACGTTTCTGGTCAGATACCATCGGTTTTGCCCTGAGAGTTTGTTCCCAGGCTTAGTGGTGCTCCGAGAACAACACAAGGAGTATGGGTTTTCTCTCCCCTTTTCTCCTCTTTTCTGGGGTTGCCCTGGGGGTAGCCGGGGGCCACTCTGGGATGCCCAGCCTGCCAGGGACGTCCTGTCCTCCGGTGAGCTGAGCAGAGCCGGAGGCATTCCCCCTGACGCTCTGCCCAGTGCATCCTCCTTCGCCTCTCCCGGTAAACTTGTTTTTTCCCCAGGGGATTTTACTTGGCGGCAGCTCTCACACTGGGGTTTGACTGCAGCCCAGTGACAGGGACTCAGTGCACCCGGATATTGGTGGGAAACAGGGTAGGCAAAGGGGAGCATAGGAGCCTTGCATGTTGTATTCACAGATGTAGTAGGCATTGCTCTTTTTTGTTTTTTTTAAATAAGCTTAAAGCCTTTTTTTTTAATATATATATTTTATTGATTTTTTTTATAGAGAGGAAGAGAGAGGGATAGAGAGTTAGAAACATCGATGAGAGAGAATCATCGATGAGCTGCGTCCTGCACATTCCCTACTGGGGATGTGTCCGCAACTAAGGTACATGCCCTTGACCGGAATCGAACCCGGGACCCTTTAGTCTACAGGCCAATGCTCTATCCACTGAGCCAAACTGGTTTCGGCGGCATTGCTCTTTTTCAAAAATTTAAAAGGTTTTAAATTTGCTGTGACTGCCAACCTGGATGGATTTGGAGAACATCATACTGAGTGAAATAAGCCAATCAATGAAAGAGAAACACCACATGACCTCACTCATTTGTGGACAATAAAAAACTTTATAAACTGATGAACCAAAAGATAGATATAGAGACAGTAAAGCAACAAGCAGATTGTCAAATTACAGTGGGGAGGGGAGGAGGATCTGGGGGAGATAATAGATCAACCCAAGGACTTGTATACATGCATATAAGTACAACCAATGGACATAAAACTCTGGGGAGGGAGGGGATATGTGGGAGGGAGGAAGGGGGGCAAAAAAATAAAATAAAAAAAGTATGTAAAACTAAATAAAATAAAATAAAAAAAGATGATGTAATGACACATACACATATACTAGTAGGCTTGCAATAAATTGACATACTGTTTAAAAAAAAATAAAAATAAATAAATAAATAAATTTGCTGTGACTGGGAGTACACAGAATGCCGTGGGATCCTGATCCCTGAGAGTTGGAACATTGACCCTTCCGGACATGTGTGTTGCTGGGATGTTGGCCCTCAGGAACATACCAGATGGCGTCAGAAATCACCCGTGGCTCTTCAAGTTCATGGCTGTCTCTCAGCCCCTCCCCGGAGATTGCGATTCAGTGGGGGTGAGGCGGGTTGGGGAAATTCGGGGTCCCAGTAAGCTGTTTTCACACGTGATTCTGACTTGTAGTCAGATTTGAGAATCCCTCAACTAGAAGCTTTTGGGTTCTTTCCAGTGCCGAGATTCCATCAAGAACATATTCTCATGAATGAGCAAGTCAGGGAGAATAAATGGTTTTGCTTCTGTTTTATTTCTGTCTCTCCCTTTTTTTGGTTTTATCTCTCGAAGGAACTTAAGAGAGTTTTATTTATTTATTTTTTAACCATGGAATTGAGGACCTTTGCCCAAATCAATCAAGGTAGAGTTTCAGAGTTGGAGGTTAAGTCTCATACCTCTTTAAAAAAGACCTTAGTTAGAACTATAAGATTAGCAAGTACTACCCTCTCTGACTACTTATAAATGAGAATAAAGGGCAGTTATTTTATTTTATTTTTTTTATCAACTGAATAATAAATGGTTCAGGTATGTGTGTTTTTACCTGTGCTTTTTCTCAACTTCCTCTTGCCACTTTAACAAACATAGACACACATTGCTCTCTGCCTGGCCAGTATGGCTCCATGGTTGAGCGCTGACCTATGAACCAGGACAAGCATGTCAAACTCACCATCTGCCAGCTGTGTTTGACATGCTTGAACTATGGCTCGATTCTTGATCAGGGCACATTCCCATGTTGCAGGCTCCATCCCCAGTGTGGGACATGCAGGAGGCAGCCAATCAACGATTCTCTTTCATCATTGATATTTCTCTATCTTTCCTTTCTTCCTGAAATCAATAAAGATATATTTTCTTTTGAAAGGGAAAGACTCTGCGGTTGATGAGCAAATCCCTAAAGCTCAGGGTAATGTTGGATGGTGGGACATGCAAAAAACGAGATGAGGCATGTAAGAGTGGTCTCGGGGGCAAGTGATGATCCTGTTTCTTCCTTGAGCTGGTTCTTCTGGGTCCAAGGCCCTTATTGATGTATCTATCCAATCTCTCCCCAGAAAATGTTACATTCTCTTGGGCAGGGCTTTGTGGTACCTGGGTGAGTCTGTGAGTAGCTTCTTCATTGATGTACTGTCTGCATATCTGACCAGCAAGAAGCTGGTCTCAGCACCTCCCCTGTTGAGCTGAAGAGGCTTTGGGATTTCCTTTTGAAATCACTAGCTGCAGGATAATTCTCTGCAATAAATAACATGGGAAGTTGGCAGACTGACCTCCTATTTGAAAGTCGTTAGTTTTGCTTCT